GATTTTCTACTACTTGGTCACTGCTTTCTTCAGTATGGTATCCGTACATCATCTCTCTGTTTCACTCCTAACATTCAAAACGTCCTTTGTATCTTGGAAGCTTACAATATCATTTATATATCTAGTCTTCAAGCGTATATACTTGTTGTTTTCAACGTTTATCGATACGCTCACATTGTTAAAAACGTCGATCTGACCACAGCACATCCACGTTCGACTTGCGTGTTACAAGCTGCAATCTACATCATAGCTACTGGATTTCTCGGACTACAAGCAGGAGTAGGCTGGATGACATTGAGTTCATACGATGATCATGATTGTAATCTAAATTACACATCCGTGTTTATTCTATACATGAATTTATTTGTCCAATTTATTTTTCCTATGTTCCTCAACGTTCTGTTCATGTATCTTACACTCAGACATATTCAACGATCGAAACGATCATTAGCTGCTAAAAATAAACATATCTACCTACGCCTAACTACGCTTTTTTCTGTCAGAATACAAGCGGAAGAATATTCGATTATAGTATTCTAAACTAAAACTATCGAAAAACACAAAATTAATTTTTGTACGAATAGAGTTAGACCTACCAAGGTCTGCATTCAAGATTTTTCTCCTGGGAATATGGATTGTCTGACGAAACAGAAATTGCTATACCATTTAAAGGAAAAGATCTACCACCAGATATTTCTGAATTTAGTCATCCAGATGTGATGATTGGTTTTACTCTCATTAGTTATTTATGCAGAGGATTAGATTTAAATCAAGTTATTAAAGTTTAAATCAGTTTATTGAAACAATGGGTCCAGAAAATAAAATTGGATTGAGGAACAAAATGAAAAAGAAAAAGCTGAGTTGCCATTGTGGCTATATTCTTTTAAAACACTTGATCTTAAGAATGAAGATAGAATTAAAATAATTCAATAATTCAGACATTTTGGTTTTATCCAATATTATTTAAGTAATTTCACGTTTCGAAATGATACGAAACAAAACTTACAGGAAATACTCATACTTTAGCTAGTGAAGGAAAAACAAAAGGTTTTTCTGGTACTGACGATCGTAATGATACGATGTTGAATCCATTGTTCCAAGAAGGTTGTCTTCTCAAGAGGAAATGACTGGAAAAATGCTTTATCAAAGAAAAGTAAATAGTGAACATTAGTCTAAAGAATATTGAATAGCTTAGAGTTCTTGCGGCCAGTACGTGACTACGCTAAATGTTATAAAGATCATTGTTCTGTAATTGATCCCGATGCCATTATTCCTGAATGAGTAATTTTGATGTATCTAAACGTTTGATAAAAATGATTGATACAAAGTTTGACGGCATTGTATACTTCTCTAATAAAAAATAATAAGATTATGGTTATTTTAAGAAATGAAGAAAATTTACCGCCAGCAACGTGTCATATAGGAAAGAAAAAATTATTTGTTTATATAGATGAGGTTCATACACGCGGAACTAATTCAAAACTGCAATTAACTGCTCGAGGTGTCTTAACTCTTGGAAGGAGCACGAACAAAGATAAATTGATGCAAGCCATTATGCGTCTCAGATATCTTGGTCAAACATGAACAAGTTAAGATAAAAGCTTGTCAACATAATAATTCTATTCTTAGGAAATTAACAGGTAAAGCATTAGAAAATTTTCGTGCTAATACTAATTACCGTCAAAGAAAATGTCGTTTAAAGAAACGTAAACGTTTAATTAATAATAAACCATTATCATTTCAAAATTGTCAATCTTTTGGTAAAGTTATTAAAAAAGTAACATCTGCTTTACCAAAATGCGATAAAAAAAAGAAAGATGTTATTCAACATCTAGCTCAAAAATATAATCTTGCTCCAAAACCTGTTCAACAACGTACATGTGCCAATATATCTGATCAGATTAAAAATGTGGTTCATAAGTTTTATTTAAGAGACAATGTTTCTTATCAATTATCTGGTAAACGTGATACTATTGTTGTTAAAAATGATGATAACACTAAAATAACATATCAGAAAACAATACTTTTGATAATTTACGTGAAAGTTTTGAATTATTTATAGAAGAGAATAAAGGAATAATTATTTCTCGTTCATCGTTTGCTGATTTAAGACCTCCATTTGTAGATCCAAAAGCAGCGCTAGCTCATAGAATATGTGTGTGTATCTATCATGAAAATGCTAATCTAATACTGAAAGCAATTGATAAATTTGTTAAAGGAAATGTTTGTTCATCTTTACAACAATTTACTGGGACTTTAGTTTGTAATACTGTCAATCAAGAATGTATGTTTCTTGCATGTCCATTATGTGAAAGTAATTTTCAAGAGAAAGTTATTGATAATGTTGTAAGTGGAGCAACTAGAATTAAATGGTGGCAATG